TCAAGAATGTTAGTATAATCTAGTGTCCAACATACCTACAACACATACACAACCCAAGCGATAGTTATAATATTTTCTTGTACCTAATTAAATTAGTCTCGCGGACAAAAACTGTGAATACTTGCACGTGAACACGAATACACACAAATCGTTGGTGTCACGAGTGACGTTTACATTTTGACATTTTATTGATTTATTTTATTCCCGCCATTTATCCGGCTAGTTGACAGCGTCATTGATTCAATAAAGGAATTAAAAAAATATACAATTGTCTGTGCATTATTTTTATTACCGGAGTAGGATGATATGTTTATAATTTATGTCTTGGATAATCCATGTCATGGATGTTATAGATATCTATTTAAAATTGAAAAATATTTGGATTAGAATCGCGTTTGATTTTTGAAACTGTGACTACGTCCTTAAGTATTGACGAACTTTATATTGTTAGGTATAACTTAGAACTTGTACATTTTACGAATGTATCTTGACTTTTACTGTTTTTTTTGCAAAGTCTATATGTGACTTTCCCAATTCTTAAGACATCTATGTACGTTTGTATCTATACTAATAATAAAAAGAGGTAAAATTTGTAAGTTTGTATGTAGGGGGTAATCTTTGGAACCGCTGGTCGGATTGCCAAAATTCTTTCACTGTTAGATAGCTACAATGTTCCTGAGTGCTATAGGCTATAAAACATCACGCTACGATCAAATGGAGCCGTGCAGCGGGTGAAACCGCGCGATAGTAGGCTAGTCAATTATACAATTGGCTTATTTGTTTTTAACCTGGGTCTGAGTAGGTAAACTCAATAATTGATTTATTACTAGTGTACTCGCCCTTGCTTCACACGGGAATCAGTTATTTGTTTTGTTAGCGAACAAAGCATGCCATACATTTTATTTTTGTAATCTTTACTTTTATGACAACTGTTTCCTGATCCTTGCAAACATAGTATAAAAATATCTGTTGGAATCGGTCTAGTTTTCACGCATCATTCCATCAAAAGGAAATTGCTATAAATTTTTAAAAATAAAGAAAATCTTTATCTTTTTACATATTTAATACAAATATTATAGAATAAAATTGGAACAATGGCAATTTTGTTCCTAGTACAACAACAGAATACTTATATGATAGGTATGTACCTATGCCATGTTTTCTTCACAACAAAATAATTTTCTATTTTGGAATTTTCCTTACCCCACAATTTCCGCTCTAAAACGCATTTTTGCATAATATAGGTGATCATTACGTGCATAAACTCTTACAACATCGTTGCGACACTAGCGCCGGTCGGTTTTGACAGCAAAATCTCTTGTTTATGGCTTAGATTACCATTGTAAAGTCATGTTAGTGTTTTGTGCAAAATAATTACAAATTAATGTAAAAAACTATGTAGTGAATGGCTTCCGTATTCATTATTTTTATGAGATGGTTGTACTAGATTTGTTATTAGTCTAACATTATTTACGTGGGATATTTTTGTTTTATTTTATTGTAAGATCACACAATTATCTCCCATTGGAAAATTCGAAGGAAATGTTCCTGGTTGTTACAGTTCCCAGTTATATGTATAGCGTAGTTTATGTAATTAAGTAATAATAGGCTTATTTGTCCTTATCTACATATTACGACAAATTTACAAACTTCAGAATCTTAGAAACGATTTATTATATTATATAGACTAGTAGATAATGCCAACAGCATAAAGGTAGATAATCCACCTATTTAGCTATGTACGTATGTAAATAAAGCTTAGATTAATAAAAAAAAGGAATGTTCATGACAATTATTTACCTGGATAGTGTCAGGTTTTATGAATTAACCTCGTTATATCACTGTGTCAAAAATTACCTATTAAAATTTCATTTAACAAAGTACTCAACGTACGTCATATGCAAACAAACCCAAGTTGAACTCCATTGTAGCGTGTAAACTAAAGAAATTATCATAATTACGCAATATTACAAGTTTCTCGTAATTTTCACTCATTTTCGCGAGTAAAACCTCGTTTGTTTAACGCGGAAACCAGTTTCGGATGTGTCATGGTACGATGAACGAACAGCTGTCAAATCAGCGACAATGCATAGCATGGGCGCGCGTTAATTTCCATCAACATTGTGGATCATCATATCACTTATGTAGGAATGGGAGAAAGAGCGAGGCCGGTGCCCGCGGCGGCAGTCGCTCCTCACGCGCAATTCGACATGGTCAACTGTACATAATTACGTGCACCGAGCGTATATCATCAAAACACAATTGCGCGTATCTGAACGCGGCGCGTCATTCGAAAAAAAAAAGAAATGTCAAATCTTCGCGCGCTTTTCGGTCCCATAGATAAAACAGATTATGATTTATTGGAACGTGTTTCGTGTATGAAAGTGAATTAACATTTTTTTTTAATTCATACCGTGTTGAAGTGAATGTGAAACTATCTATTACGTAAGAGTTTGAAAAAATTCTTCGTTGTTCAATATGAATTTTTGTTGAATTCTTGTGTTTTGTTATGACTTCATTAATGGATTTGTTCGTAACGATTAATTTATTTTGATCGGTTCTTGGATTCAGATGTAATTTTTGGATTAACGATGTTTATATTGCCGTATTCTGTAACACATCGGAAAAAGTCGATGAAAAAGTATTTAATCAAAATATGATTAGAGTTGTGGCCTGTTTCTCATACTCTTCCTATTGTTTTTCACTTGTGTTTACATGTTTTCTTACAGGAATTGTTGTGACAATAGTTTGTTAATGGAGAAAACATGTGCATGGCTAGAAAAAGTTGGGAACCCAATCAAAACGTAGCATCATGAGTGTATGCGCATACTAATTGTTACCTTTCGTTTCTACGATAATTACTTAATTTGTTGGCCGTGGTTTGCATAATGAGTACTTTTACAATGATATTCTGCAAACAATACAGAGTAATTTTGGAGAAATTTCAAATGTTTAATTACCTAAATTCGCCATATTTGATTCTACGCAAAAAATAAATAAGTACCTATTTCGAAATGTTTTAATCTCGATTAAGCTTAATTTGTGTAGTAAGTATGCAACATTTTGAATGAATATTATTATTAAATAACATTTGATCTAAATTCATGAATAGTAGAGGATTGATAGGTTAATGTTTTAATAAAAATATGTTGATTTATTGCAAGGTCATTCACGTAGGTAGGTACCTATTATATGAGTCGGACTATTTAGATAAACTAGAAAAATATTTTGAGGTTTTGGCTTATACATAGTTAAAAATTTATATAAGAATTCTACAAAAAGTATTAATACATTTTTGAATAAGAACTAATTACTCTACAATAATTAAATATTGAATTTGAACACATTTTGTAACAAACTGATTTTACAAAACTAACTGAACTGAAATTAAAAAATCGAGTGTTAATAAAGTGTCTAGATTTACATATATGTATTCCTATCTACATAATCCTACATATCATTCCAGGCACAAAATCGATCTCCTTTCTATGTATTTAATGCATACCTATATAAAAACAAAATATTTCCTATTAGCTTGTCTGCGCTACATCGCTGCACAGCTCATAATAATAAGTACTTACAATTTATTGCATTTGCATGCTACATGACAAAGAAAGCGCTTTACGCTGCAGAGCGAAACGTAACACTCAATACATTATTATAAAACGTTAACACCAAAAAGTATTTAATACAAATTGTGAGGAAACGCTTCATATATCATTTAAAGTTATTTATTTCAGTAATTTACTTGTTAAGGAAGTTTTGATTGACTCGATTGTCGTTTGGCAGTGGTGTTTTCCAGTTTTCCAAACATTTTATAATAGGCCTGAGTATTTAGTAACGTTTTTACTGATATGTTTTACGTGTTATATACATATAAAAAAGTTTATATTGTCCTTAATAAAAGCGATGTGTACCTATCTCTTAAAAAAGTCAAAAGAATGTGCTATGATTGTTCTGTATTTGAAAATTCATTTTTTTATTTATTGTAGATGTTAAAATTCGCTTCTATTACAATCTAATTTTCAGCCAGTAAACTACGCATTCCTCTGTAGATCGTATAATGCCATAATTTTATAGACGAACCGTTATTAAAGTGAAAAAGAATAACAAGACTCCATGAGCAAATTAACATTAACATAATCAAACCACAGTTATAGTGAAGTTCCTCACAATTAATCGATGGTATATCGATAAAAATAATCGGTAAAACATGTAGGAAGCATAGACTCGACTCGCGTTGTCGTGAATCGATTTGGTGACAGGCACTGGATCGTTAATGAAGAGTAATTTGTAAGTTTTCAAGACATTCAATCGAAATTAGCTCATGACTAATTGATTTCTGTATTTTGAGCGGCTTTAATTACAGTTTTTAGTTAAGGTGTTAAACTTTCATTAAGTTTTTCTTGATCAGGGAAAGTAATTAGTGTTTTGTAATAAATGTTTAAAAAATATGTTACAATCGTTGATTATGTATTGTTATTATTTATTTGATAACGCCAAACCATTCAATGTTGTATTAGGTATGTAACATAATATAGGTACCAAAATTCAAAGAATTCATTGTTATTTATTACCTAGCCTATAATTTATCCTTAAATAATTCATTAATAAAATCTTCAATCCAACTCCCACTTACCTAGTAACCATAATAAACATTAACAAGTTTCTACCGTTAAACCCAGATAATCGAAAAGATACATCAGGTATCGATTAAGTAATCGATCATATCGTAAACATAGTTTAATCTTGAATCATGTCGGCCACAACTCGGAATCTCTTCGTACGTGACTCAAAAATGCGACCTGCTTAGCGAGACGCGTTCGAGTTTACCAATTACGCAATATAATCGTAACAATAAGATGAGAATACGGAAGTGTAACAGAATACGGCCGTGTAACCAAATTAACCCTTGGCTTGTAGGTAACAGTGATTTTCTGTGCTCTTACTTTAGTAGTGACAGTTAAATAACGAACAAGAACGATCGTGGGCGATGAACAATGCCTAGGGAACGTTCAGAAGACGGCGACTGCAACGCTATAGCGCGGCTCATCAAAGACTTCTGCAGTTGCTCGGAGAACGCCACCTGGTCGCCGGAGATGACATCAGACAGACGAAAAGGCCCACTGCTCAAGAGTGAACTCACAAACATGTCTGCGATGCGTCGAAGAATCATTTCTATTGCCAAAAGAAAAAACAAAGAAGTCCCAGAGCCGCCAAAACTGACGTACGGAGCCACTTTCCAGAAAAATTCAGACACTCTCACTTCAAACTTGGTTAACACAACGATCAGTTCTCAAAGCAGTACTCTCAGGCGAAACATCGACAATTTCCTTATGTCTCGAAGGATGTTCGCTCTCGAGGAGGACATTTACGAGAAACCCATTCAGGTGAAGACACCCACGTGCGGCGAGAACTGGTCTCTGAGCAAAGCGTGGCGGAACAACAACTCTGATTTCTTCAACCGCTCTCCTACCCTCGATTCTAACCGACTAATTGAGCGGAACTACACCCAACTCGAACGAATAGATGAGATCCCGCAGCGGAAAAAACGGAATAAGAAAATGAAGGAGCAAATACGATACGATAGGAATATTAAGAGACATATACGTATACGCGTGATGTTGTCGTTGAGAATGAGGAGGTATATGAAGAGGAGGATGAAGAAGCCTGGTCTGCAAGCGTCACAGAATGTGAACGTGCCTCCGAGGAGATTTCCGAGAGGGGCGTCGGTGACGTCAAGTTTTGGCACCAGGTCTTACAGGAGTGTGATGACGGATAAGTTAGGGGATGGTGCTGTGTTATTTGACATCTATGAAGCGAGAAACTCCACGATGGAGCTCTGCCATGACTATGAAGAGGACCTCGATACGCTACAGATTGCGTTACGCGCCGGTAACTTTAGGTAAATACTTTTTACAAGTTTTTAGATGTAAGATCTGAGAGTGAAAGTGAGGCGGGCTGAATGACTAAGTAATTATTAACATTACTTGCGCACCTCTTTGCTTGTTTAGTCTCTAGACTGTAGAGTAATGATAAACAAAATTGTACTGAATTTTAGCGTTGTTTAGTTATTAAAGTTTATTCTAATACTGTTGATTTCTGATGACAATAAACAAGCTAAACAGGTCTTAGCTTAGAACTAAATACTTTTTAGAACAACAATACCAGATCAATTTGGATAAAAATACAGTTACATTCTACAAAAAACTGAATTACTAGGTAAACTAAACAAAATTATGATACAGAATTCCGTGTGTCATTTGTTTGAAAGGTCACAATTTAGAAATTGTGCACAGGATGTGATGGGTGGTCTACCGTTACGGTATTGTAGTGTCGAGTCCCCCATAATACTGGTATGGTGACTAATACTATAATACACATGTATGAACTCCGAGTATTGGCGGCCATTGTGACGAAAAAATATTTCGTGCAAAATTTTAAATAGGCTTGGCTTGACCCTACGGTCGGTATCAATGGATATTTTTGAGGATACGATAAAAATTTACAGTTAAATTGTTTATGTTATTATAGTGTTTAGTTATGACAAAAATTGGAAATAACTTGCGAATTCCATATGGCTTATTCATAGCCGGTTAATGTTTACAAAGAAACAACATAGTTAATTTGTTGTGTCCTTGTTTTGTTGTGTGCATACACAACAAAACCAAAGGACATAATTATATATAAGTATAATATATCACTATTCCCCGCCCCCATAGGGACAATGGAACGCCAAATGATACGATTCGGGAATACCTCTCTCGCTTATTATAAGTAGGTACCTATGTTAATTTTAAAACATAAACTGTACATGTATTGTTTATCTTTAAGCTATAATTTCGTTTATTTTTTTTTGTGTTTTACTATCAGTTCAATACACAAAACGATAGTTTCTAAGTAGTAAAAATCAATACTTTTGTTAAAATGTCAAAAACGATAGTTTTCTACGAATTTTGTATACAATCGCAACATACGACGTCAGAATGTTTTTACGTCAAATAGCAATCTTATTTCTAAATAGATAGATAGAAAAAAAATAAGTAAATAGTCAAATTAATTTATTAATATATAACTAGTAGACCCAGCCACGCGTTGCTGAGGCTAAGGTTCTTGTCAAAATAATATTGTGTAATATTGTGACTATAAATTGAGATGCTCACGGACTGCAAATCAAATAAGCTATCCTATCTTTCAAGTTTGATCAAAATGCATACGGAATGCAAATCAAATTTAAAATCGGTTAAGTAGTTTAGGAGTTCATCGCGGACCAACACGTGTTATGAAAATTATTTAGTACCCATCACAATTTTACACGTGCGAAGTCAGGGTGGGTCGCTAGTAGTGAATACTACTGAGCACACAAGAAAGTAATAATGTATCTGTGCAGTGCACGCTGCGGTGTCATTGGCATCATAATAATATGTTCAACCTGTTTGTGCGTTTGTCCTCACAGAATGCGGTTTCTAGTAATTAATTTTATTTGCTTTATAACGTGATAGATAGATATATAGACTTTGATTTACCTAGTTCATATATTTCGTCAATTAAATTCTAACGAATTCTATTTGTTCATTTCACTTTCTTCACGAGGCGACGACGGTATAAAATTTATATTTCTTTTTTAGTCTTTATTAAAGTAATTAAATCGATAGCTACTGTTTTTTTTAAGATACCTACATCGATATATTTTTTTAATTGTCTACATAAATTAAAAGTTGAAATTTTTTAAAGTACATGTGTAGGCGAGAAGCAGTCTTGTCTGGTTAACTCAAAGCCGACCGTATGTTATATATGTGTGGGGTTATTTTTGTGTGAGATATCATCATATGACTTTATCCGCTCTAATACAATAGCTCTGGGTAGGACAAGAGAGATTGTTAGACTCTTACTGACTTAAAACAACCCCGTTCCTGTTCAGAAAAAGGGAGACATCTCAGGCTACTTAATCGAAAGTAAAACGCTGTAAGGTTCAAGATAAAAAAATAGTTTTTTTTATGATAATCGAGTGGCCTAGTCCTAAAAATGTGGGAGAGCCAAGCTTCGGCACGAATGGGTGGGCTCGACCGGAGTGGTACCTCGGCCTCACAGAATACCGGCGTGAAACAACCACAGCGCGCGCCGTGTGAGTGAGGTTACCGGAGGCCCAATCCCGCCCCTTCCCCTATCCCTTCCCGATCCTTATATCCGCAACCCCTATCTTCTTTCTTGGATTCTTCTAATCCAAGTGTGGGAGAGCCAAGCTTTGGTACGAATGGGTCGGCTCGACCCGAGTGTTACTACGTCCCCACAGGTTACCGATGGCCCAATCCCTACCCCATCCCTTCCCATTTCATAAATGTCCGAAATCCTTATCCCTAAACGGCGGGCAACGCACTCGAAACTCCTTTGGTATTGCGGGTGTCCATAGACTGATTTATAGCGCTGATTATTTACCATCAGGTAATCGGTCTGCTAGTAGCTACAATATGCAGTTCGATAATATACAGAATAAAAAGTATTTTTTTATGATTTTGGTGTTTCTTTCATGACGATGCAAAGAAATTGTAACACGTTAGTGATATAAAAATCACTGTAATTGACGCGTGCTAGATCATTCTGAACAATGAGACAGCAATATAATTTTTATTTTTTTATTTTTATTCTGTAAATGAATAGCTTCTTCTGCCCGCGGTTTCGTCCACGTTACTCGGATGAAAAGTAGCATATTATTATGTTTTATTCCAGATTAGAATGTATCTATTTGTGCTAATTAATTTCTTTTTCTTTGTGACTTTTATAATGTTGTTTTTTTTTGCTGTACGTATCTATATTGATTTTAGTTTGCATATACATATGTATATGTATCTTAATTCTTACGAACTTACGCGTAAATAATACTAATAGGATACAAAGTCAAGATCACAGTCAGTATTGTCGATAGGTTGAGATACCATTGTCTTTAGAAAAGAATATTAGGTACTTGCTTGACCAGCAAATCAAATTCACATAATCGCCATTTAAGATAAATTATTAAAATGTTACATAACTGACATTTCAATTTATTTTTGATTGATCATATTTATTTTTGTATCTTTCCGGAATTTACAATCTCACGTGATATTAAAAATCCATAATTTTTAATTTATGCATGAAACAGTTAACTTTTATTATGATTTATTGCGTTATCAAATGTCAAATACTATATTATCAAGCGATCTAATTCTAATCTATTTGTGAGAATATCCTCGATTTATCAATTCGATTTCTATAATTAATTTATTTACTTAATTATTTCTAGAAATGTCAAAGTCAATCCCTTGTCACGGTTTGATTAATGAATTAATTTATTTACTAATCAAGATAATATTTATAAAATCGAGCATTTTTATTGATTACAAATTCTTCATTGATTTCATATTTATTCAATATAATTAAATACGCTAACATGTACAGCGCCATCTCTTAGTGAGTAGTGAAACTAGGGTGTGCTCATTTGCGTGACTTGTACACTGAGCATTCTACGTAATAGATTAGTTCAGCTATTACTTGATAGATGGCGTTATATACAGAACAACAGCGCGTTGATGTCTTCTATTCAGCATACGGAAATAATGCTATGTCTTATTTTGTTATTATATTTAAAAACATTAAAAGCCTTTTTATCTACTTAAATTGTTCTTCAATTTATCTCAAGTTTAAAAATGTTGAATTATTTATTTTGAATTTATTATCAAACCTTTTTAAATAAGTAGAATGATATAATCTCAACTAAAACATTTATTACTCTTGCAGGAGCGGTCGTTTAGCTGTCGAGGGTTGGTGGTGCGGGCGCGCCATGCCGGGCGCTGGCGGGCGCGCCAACAATGGCGCCCTGGCGTTACACTACGCAGCCGCGAGAGGGTGCCTCGACTGCGTGCGGTTGCTCACCAACACAACACCCGATGTCTCGTAAGTACTGCTGATACTATTTGGGCGATACTAACGCCATCTATTTTTTGTAGGTTAATACTAACAAAATGAGAATTTTCATGGTTTTTCACAAAAAATTTTTTTGTGAAACATAATCAGTACCTATATAACCGGTCGCAGTTGAAGTTATAAGTATCCCGCGTTTGTTTTTTGAAATGTAACGCAATAAAAAATCCTCATAATTCCGCTGTAGCGTAGTGTAGTGTAGTGTAATATTTCCAAAAGAAAAAAAGAACCCTGAATATTTTCGCACAATGAGAACGCAAATTTTCTTTCTCTTTTTAGTTTCGGCATTACTAAACAACATTTATTTATATCCTAATAAACTGAACATGAAATATCAACTGAACAAAATAAGACATCATTAGTATCTCTTCTCTAATATTCAGGTCAAGCGCAGAAAACTATAAAACATAAAACAATTAACTACTTAGAGTTCACCTTAATATGATAAAAACAAAAACACAAGTTATAAATCTCCAGCCATCTTGTTAGATGATGGAAGCCATTTAGATTGATGCAAGACATTCTATTAAGTTGGCAATAAAACATGCGCACGAGTCTCATTAAATGGTCACACGTCATTGCGCATGTGCAACAGATCAGGTGCAACTAAGCGAGACTTATCTCTGGTCGACATGTTAGGATTGCATTCGAGTTTATTGGGATCATTCTTGTTGGAGGCTATTTTCTTAAAATATTTAATTTTATTTCTTACTGGCTTCTCTGGCGCAGTTGCACTCGCTGCTCTTCAGATTGCAGCGTGATGTATAATAGCCCAAAGCCTCCCTCGTTAAATGGACTAACAAACACAAAAAGAATTGTTCAATTCGAACCAGTAGTTTCGGAGTTTACCGCCTCCAAACAAACAAACAAACTCATTATCTTTATAATAATAGTTCCATATAAGGCCCTTCGCCTCCCCCTCCTCTCTAATCCCTACAGGTTGGCAACGCACTCGTAGCTCCTCTGTTGTTGCGGATGTCCATGATAGGCGCTATATGCTTACCTTCAGGTAGCTCGTGTGCTGATTACTATCACATAAAAAAATATTGATATGTGAACAATTAGTACCTATTCCATGTTACGTTTTTTGTTCTTATTTTTTATTATTCAGTATTTTGAAATGTAACAATGCAGCCCAAAACGTCATCCACAAATTAACAGAAAATTATAAACATGGAAAATAATGCTCAGAATAACTTATTTTTATCCGACTTATGTTCTTTATAAAAATGTAACTTTTTTTTTGTTTCTATTTCATTTACGTAAAAATGTTTCGTACAAAAAAGTTACTTTATTTATATAATCTGCAATTGACTAGTACTTAACTTCTGTTTTCTTTTTTTTTCTTAGTTCCGTACTTAGCACAATTTACGACCAGGCTGAGAGCACTTTAAGCAAAAACAGTGATTTACGGAACCCTATTTAGCTCTAATCAGCTCTTGTAAGAAGTTTTTGTGATCTGGTCTTCTGCCCATAACTGTCCAGTCACGGGAGCTAACGGCGAGTACTGTTACTGATCAGTGATCGTACGCGATGCGTGTGCGCATCCGAGTTGCTGAGATTCAATCTGTTATGTGTTAGGTCGGGAATTTGAAGTTTCTATTCTGGATAAACAAATTTTTGTTTTATATAAATTTAGTTTTCTCAAAGACTGTCTTTCAAACTTTTTGAATCTTAGAAGAACCATGAATACTTATGTACCCTGTTCAGGTGTTTAATGGCTTGGCTTTGAAATTCGTGTATTTATTTGTCACCTGTTCAATCAATGTTTTTTGTGACCTTGAACTTGTTAGGTTTAAGTCAAGAAATGACCTTAATTTCTTACAACACACAGTCTGTGTAAAACTTGATAACAATAGAGTTATCAATTTTTCTATCACAAAATATAGTTATTACAGGCACACGCATGGAAAAATATAGTAATTAGTATAATTAAATGATGGTACGTTTAATTAGTAATTATTCCGTGCGGACTAATCATTTAAAGACGCATGCACGCTTTGGAATGATTGAAGACAGATGCAGTGTTTTACCTGTTTCTGCAGGCTTTCTTTTATGTAATAATGGATGGATTATTTAGACACCACTGACAAACGGTGAAGGAAAACATCGTGAGGAATCCAGGACTTATAATTTACAATTATAAGTTTGAAATCGCCAATCCGCTTTGAGCAAGCGTGGTGATTAATGCTCAAACCCGTGTGAGAAGAGGCCTTTGCTCAGCAGTGGGGACTTATAGGCTGATGATAGTTGGATTATATTGGGGTTGGGGTTGCGGGTTCTAACGTAGTAATGTAGGTACTATGGCTCCGGTCCGAAACAGGAGAGCTGACAAGGTGGTTTTTAAACATTATGAGTCTGACACTTTCTTTCGCGTCACCGGACGGCAGGAGAAGTCATTTGAAGATTTTACCACCTAAAAAAGAAATCAAACGATGTTTTTCTTCACCATTTGTCGGAGTTAGCCTAAATTAACCTACAAATTATACATATGCATAGATATAACTCGGAAAAAGTCACACTGGTTCCCGCCAGGATTCGAAAAACCCTCCCTCGGCCATTTCCGTGAGAGATGAGACTTTTACTCAGCAGAGACATTATGATCTGTTGTTGATGATGATGAGGATTATATTAAGTAAGCGTATGTTATCTTAATCCAAACCATAAATGCAGTAATGTCGAGTTAATTAGACATTAACTCTTACAGATAATGATCGCACGTCTTTATGCGGGCTCGGGCGTCGTCTAAGTTTCAAACGTTTCCATTAATTTACATTTGTGAATAGATTCAGCTACTGTTTCTACGATCTTATGGTTGATATAGAAACAATTTTACTTTACACGTTAATTTAATATTTTTTTTTGTCTCGGCTGTCTGGTGTAATATTGCCGTGATGCTGTATTACTAGACGTGAGGTAAAATGTTTTTTCTTAATGATTTAACTTCATAAAAGTATCAAAAATGAGTCTATGCATTGTATGCTCCATATTTTAGTCCTATCATTACTTATCTAACCATTAGGAAATAAGTAATTAAGTAATACAGTATCAAGTTCAAAACGAGACAAAACTTATAAACCACACTTATTTCGAGATAACTTAGTGACTTATCACCAATTTCAGCAACAAGTGCGATAAGTGAAAAAATCTAATTTTGTATAAATCATTTTGTCACAATACATTGTTTTAAAGCGCAAAAATTCACGCAATATGGCATCGATCGCTCACCGCCAGGTGGTCTGTCTGTTTCTTCATTCCATTTTATTGCATAAAACATTAAAATAGTGATAAAACTAAACTAAATTGTATTAAAACTCGAAAATAAAGAAACATCCTAAAGCGTATATCCAGTGAGACGGGTAGAGAAAGCGTTACCGAATTAATTGCTCTTATCCGCCATCTTGTGCTCATCTGCGATCTTCACGCCTGCGCATGCGCACACGGCCATCCTGTGACACATTTTATGTATGTTAGCAATAAAAATTGTTGGGTTAATAGAACATGTAAGTATTGTTGTATTTTGTAATAAGATTAAGTGGATAAGGTCCTTGATAAGTGACAGGTTATTTTATGTGATGCGTAGTATGTTATAGTTACTTTTTTTTTGATCTGGAAGATCGTGTCGTGTCGTGGTGGCCCAGAGGTTAAGGTACCCGTTTGTCATGCGTGAGGGTTCGAAACCTGGCAGTTTGCAGAAACGACAAACATAATTTGTTTAAGTTAAAAAAAAAACAGCAGCAAGCGACCAACACAATTTTGCAACAATAAACTGTAGTGTCTCATGTCTAAACTAGTTTTTTACTCTATAATGCCATTTATTACTAAGTGTCACAATAAACTTAATCTGTGGACATCATTCACGCTAATGTCGCAAGCCATATCACAATTACTGGTGAGCCATTATGAACGATTTGTACCATGTAAGTAGCGACTTGGTTTCGTTAGGCAAGTAAAATGCCTCAAAGTTTCCGGAGCGAAGCCTGCAGTTATGAAAGGTGTTGTTTTTTTAATCCTCCATTATTAGACCGTTTAGGGCTAGCGCGTATATACACACATACAACTTTTTAGTCACTGACTAAACTGTTCAGTTGGGTGGAATCAGAATTCGGTTGTTATTGTTTTCAATCACTCAGTTTGAAATCATTAACCTGATTTGAGCAAGCATGGTGATTATAATCAGTACTTTTCCGTGAGATGGTCTCTTTACTAAGCATTAAGCATTAGGTCCATGATGTTGACTGTGATGGTGATACTGTTTGTTCAAAACTCATACAGACGGTATCTTTCCATTTGTTTACTTATAAAAATCCCAAAAGGCTAGTGTTGGGAACTATCGTGTCATAGAGTTACTAATTAGAGATTGAACAGTCGCAGAACTGCTTTTTAGTCGATGTTATAAAGCACTTCTAGACTTTATAATACATTATTGTATAATTTCTTGTTATAAATCAGATCGATACTAGCTTTGGAGTTTCTTACCGATCAATCAGCGCTGATTTATAAAACAAAATAGATTAGCTGTTCAACGAAAAGTTGTATATTTAGGCCTATTAAGTAATAATTCGTATTGGTGACACATTTGTTTATAATTTGTTAGTTGTAGTGCAACATGGTCATGATCTCCTATTTTTTCAAAGGAAACGCAATTATTAAAAATATTGTATATAAAAAAAAATATTAAAAAAAAATGTAGAGTAATTTTCGCCGATCGATAATTAGGTTAAAGTCACGCTTGTTAGGCCTTCTTGTAACTTGTTTGCTTATGCTGACTTCATCTCTCAACAATGGTTATACTTAAAAATGGTTAATGAAATTTCCCATTTCAAAAATTATAGAATTCGCCATACGTTACTTCATAATTTAATAAGCGAATTAAAATCAATAACTTCCCGATGTAGAAAAATAACGGGTTGTTTAAGGAACCACGTCGGTGTGCAAATAAAAACGTAATTATATACTGTAAAGAAAGCAGT